AATGTGTCACCTTCTTTCCCCATAAATTCGAAGATGGCATGCCCCAAAAGCCTATTTTTTCAAGCAGGAAACACAGATTATGTCACCACACCATTTTATGAGAATCAAACTTGCAATTTGATAGGGGAGAAACAATCTGAATCAAGATACAAATATGGATCCATTAAAATGGTTCAGTGTGTAAAAGCCAATCATTTTTAACTTCGTGGTGGTTTACCTAAAATACTTGAAGACTGATTAAAGATTAAACTGTGTCTTTATTCTCTCTCTCTCTCTCTCTCTCTCTCTCTCTCTCTCTCTCTCTCTCTCTCTCTCTCTCTCTTTTTTTTTAAATAAAGCTCTGTTAATTGTTAATCCTCTTTGTTAATTATACTACTCAGTCAACCATGAGGAAAGTTGACAAAGCACTCGAACAATATCCAGAAGATAAACATATTCCAGCAACATCATCAAAGACAAGGTTACAGACCTTGAGCATTCTCAGAGAACTAAGACCACTTTAATCAAATTTTACTTCACAAAAACCGCCTTCCATCATTTGGCCTCAGGATCTGAAATGAACACATCAAACTTTCATCAACACTCATCATTGCCCCAGCATTATCAAATTCACCACAATAGTTGGGAGCAGAAAATATTGTAACTAGCTGTCTATCAGCAAAAAATTCATATCCATCTTCCACGACCTGCACAGCAAAATACCAATCAACAGCAGAAATCCAAACGCTGAAACAAGGATCAAAGAAATCAAGAGAAAATGTCAATACCTGATGAGCACGACATACAAGATCCATATCATGCTGCATCAGAAACTCAGCTACCTTATCTGGACCAAAAGTGTACGAGACCCCTCTATCGTTCATCCCCCAACCTTTAACTTCTCTACTAGGATCCGCCCAAAGTAAATCGCAAAGCAAACCAGAGTCAGGAACATCAGTTGGACGTGGCAAATTCCTTATTTGATCCAAGTGAAGTAGATCAGGAGAAAGACCACCATGCATACAAAGTATTTTATCATCAATGAGAGCAGCTACTGGGAGGCAGTTGAAACAATCAGTAAAGACTTTCCAGAGTCTCACATTGAAGCGCCGTTTACATTCATCATAAAATCCATATATCCTATTAATAGAAGCACATTCATGATTTCCTCTTAAAAGAAAGAAATTTTCTGGATATTTGATTTTGTAGGCAAGAAGAAGGCATATTGTTTCTAAACTATATTTTCCACGGTCCACATAATCTCCTAAGAACAAATAATTGGCCTCGGGAGGGAATCCCCCATATTCAAAAAGCCGTAAAAGATCTCCATATTGCCCATGAATATCACCTAAAATTCAGACAAACCAAAATGTTCAGTCAGATTTTTGACAGAGAACAAAGTGGAAAGTTCAGACTGAAGCCAAAAATGCATTTACTGATCATATTGATTAAGAAAAAGCAGAATGCCAGAAGAGTGAAATTCTTCACCAAGAGAAACAAAACAATCTTCAGTGTGGGACTTTGAAGGTAATGAAAACTACCTGTTTTTGGCTTTATAGAAAATTAGCAATGCTTATTCATGTTTCCAATAAAGTTAAAATTAACAGAAAAAATTACATTACAGTCTGACTCATCAGACAACATACAGAACTTTCATTAATTATTCACCCCCATTTCTCAAAACTCATTTTTTTGCCAAACTCATTTTCAACCACACATTCCAAGGGACCCACAACTATTATCAACTTCTCAACCACATATTTCAACAACTTTTATCAAAATTTACTAAAAACCACAGGCTAAATAGCTTGCACATTTTAAATGGAAAATTTTACTCAGGTGAAGGATAATAAAGACGCAAAAGATGTGGCCCAAATAAAATGAATAACACAAATCCAGCTCAGGTTCCCAATATAAATGCAACACGTGATATTCAGCCAATCAGTCAACTACCAGTGAAAGGGGAAGAACCCTGAGATCAATGTTCTTTCAAGGAAATTACTTCATGAAATTGCAAAAGGAATCAAAACTGTATACTCAAAACATAGGTCTCAAGGGAGTGCAAGCTCAAAAAGAAAAACAATAATTAAAAATCTAAAACGCTACAGAGCGTTAAAAACTCTTAGCATTTACTTTTTACAAAAATTTAAGTCAAATCGAGAGAACTATAATATGCATCGTTACAATCTATAAAACTATAATAATATCAGGACTGTGAAAAGCTGTGTGCAGCCCTCTTTCAAATTATCATATATTTTTTAGCACATCTAGGCACATCGCATTCACGGAAGTTGCATTGTGTGCACTTTTAGCGCTGAAGAGCATATATCTTTTAGGCTTTTGAACCAATATACATTTAAGAAGCAATTTTTGTTTCTTTTCATCATCTGTAATATGTAAAGATGGAGATAATTCATTTATATTATTATATACTCTTTGCACAACTTATGGACACATTGCTTTGATCTTTGCGGTTAGGCCTTATGCAATGTTGGTGCCTCAATGAGCTTTGCACAGCTCAATGCTTTTTGTATTTCTTAAGGAACTTGCCTTGGGGGTCTAACACTTCTCTTTTCCAAACCATTTTTCTGACAAAAAATCTCCTCTCTCACAACCTACAACTAGATATAGTGGTGGTGTGGTTGATATTTAAGATTTTGAATATATTGTCTTATTTTCTCAGCATTTAGAAACCATACAATTGAATTTTGGCCTATATTTTTATATAACTAACTTGGTTTGTCATTTTTCATTCTTTCAAGTAACCAGTAGGGACTTGAAGTAATTTTAAGGTTTAATACGTATTCAAACTAACATTCCTTTCCCATGACAACAAACATCTTAGTGTTTAGGCTCCATGGTAAAATAGCCAGGGCATACTTTTTGCTTCATGTAAATCATTGATCAATAGATTTTGTCTATTTACGTGTAGAAGGGTTATTTATCACATTTCCTAAAATATGTACTGAATCTTAGAGTGCACTTTTATTCATGAGTCATAATTTGCTAATGTATGATCCCAATACATGGTAGCTAAGCATTCATACACTGTGATATCGGCAATAAATAATATTGATACATATAACTACAATGAAAATGTTACATCATACACTGTTAACGGATATAAAAAATAAACTATGACAAAATCCAAATAAAATGACTTGCATACAGTACAGCTGTCAACACGATAAATAACTTGAAAGGTATGGAGTGCAGAATATGTATTCAATATTTAGAGCAGAACCATAACACTAGAACACCTTCAACTTACTACCAAAGAAAGTTTCATGCTATAAGTCAACCAGGTCAGCCATGACCAAAAAACTTTTCATGGCCCAGATTTTTTATGAGGAACATGCCAAAATGCATTAACAAACAATCAGACGAAGAACAATTTTGAATTCTTATTCCACAAAATCTATCTCCTAAGCTGTTGCAGTGCTGCTTCTCAAATCAATGGCCATTCTCTTCTGGACTTGACTCGTAGTCTTCTACCCAAGAATCTAAATCTCAAAATCCTAAGTTCCTAACTTTCTATAACTATTGCAATTTACTTGGAAAATTTGTCCAAAAGATCCAGATTGAGTTTCAGCCACTTTTTTTTTGTCAGAAACAAAAATACATTTTTAAATAATGATTTAACGTCATTTTAATAACACATTCTTCAATAAAATAATATTACACACAAATTCAAAATTTTTCTTTATTTTTTAACAACTCATTCCCACAATATACTATTCAAAAATGCATTTTTAGAAATATAATGTAGCTCAAACAAGGGCTAATTGTGGAAAACAAATTTTTGAATAGTGTTATTTAGCAGGATATATGATCAAAAAAAAATTGAGCTTACATACATAATATTTTATTGTGTAAATTTGTGGTTGAAAATGAGTTCTTAAGAAAAAGTTTAAAAATAATAGTTGTCAAACAGGTGTAGACTTACAACAAACACATTGAGCCCTGTTTGGTCCCCATTATTTTTAAAATATATTTTTCTCTCATTTATGTTCAACAACATATTTTTCAATAAAATAATATTGTACGTAAATCCAAAACTTTTCATTATATTTTAATAATACATTCTTCATCAAAGTAATATTCCAAAATATATTTTGTTGAAAATGTATGGCCCAAACAAGCTCTGAGTAATATTACAGCAACAATTAATTTTAATATTTTAAGATGGTGTAGAATCCCAAAATTTACTATCTACACATTCTTTAAAACCCACTAATTATAAACAAGTGCTAAAATTTTATCTATTGTGTGTTCTCCAATCGAGTCGCTTTTTACATTTGAAAATCTTGATAAAGGTCATACTTAGAAACTATTTGATGGAGTATTAAAAGAGATATTTCCTATTTATATAAACTGACTTTCCTTATTTCCTTATCCAAATTATATAATCATATTTCTTATTTGAAAATGTTATGTTTTGTTACTTTACTAATATACTCTTATTTAATTTGCCTAGTTTTAATCAATTTTCCTCACTTAATCTTGAAATTATACAAATATACATAAAGATAAACTAGGAAAGTTTTTTTAAAAAATTATTTTTTCAATAATATTAAATAAAATTTCTTAATCTGTGTGAAAACAAAACCAACCGTACTATATTTCATTTTCAATTTTGATGCTTATCTTTAGAATCATAATTAAGACATTTAATATAATCACTTTATTACATATTTCCTATTTAGAATAAGATCCTTGAAAGTTAAAACCCTGAAATCTTTTTAATTGAAGTAACGACGCTTTACGTGATGTATATATGACAATTTGTTATTTGATACATAAGATTTATACATCAAATAACATACTGTTACGCATATACCACGTAAGACGATTATTATTATTAAACCTTTGATAATGAAAGAAATTGATTTCTCCTTGGAATTATTCTTATCTTCTTGTCCCCCTCTCTTCTCTTCATCTCCCCCTTTTTTTCCGTTCTATAATTGTTCTACTGCATACTACATCACTTTTATAAAAGGTAGTATCATCAATACAAGGAATAATCAAAAGCGTGCAACTTGAGAAGGTCAACAATCTACAATTGCAACGCAATTTACATAATCCAGTGTATTTACAGAGTCGAATAATAAATTGCGTGCTAAAAATTCAAAAAAATAAAATAAAATGGCACTTTGACCACCATACTGAGAACAGCTGCCTCCAAATGACATGCAACCTGAGTACATAATACTGGAACTGGTATGCTCCAAGTTTAGAAGCCATAATCTTCTCAGGCACACCAAATGACAGAACACCTGCTAAAAATATGAAAATCTCAAATGAATAACACAACATGAAAAAATAAAATATAAGGGGTCGTTTCAACGGTTAGGGGACACAACCGTTGATTGAGAGGTCCTTGAGATCAAATCTTAAGAGACGTACGTTTGAGAAAGGCTACTTATAAGCTTGGCCAAACATTATTCCCCCAACTCCGATAGGGCTAAGATTGCCAAATTTAGAAAATCGGGAAAAATGATAAAGCAAATCTCAATTCAGAACTTGAAGCAAGAATCGAAAGCATGCAAGAAATCCATCAACTTCATAGCAAATCAATGTTCTATGGAAAGCCTGATGTTTCCATTGGGTTGTGTCATTGAACAAGACATTACACCTTCCTAACTAGAGATCCATCAGGTACCAAACACAGTCTACATAGATATATCGGCTTATTATTTCTCTAGCACAATGTGATGCTTTGATAGCATAATAGTCATAGACATGCACTGCAGATGGGATTAAGATATTTTCAATAATATTCAAGTTGAGAACAAATGCAATAATATCTACCAGGTATATTATTGTGACAAATGACAATTAGGAGCTGAGTTGGTAAGAAAAATTCAATCAAATTCTAAATTTCCTATCGCAGTCGATAAAAAAAGAGACTAATATGTTTGTCAAAAGTTATACATATCAAGAGAAGAATAAATATAAAAGTATAATTCAAGAGAAAGCATTTGAGTGATGATTCATTACTCAAGGTTTCATAATTGTAAAAAAAAAAATTTACACATATATATACACACAAGAACAAAAGTATGACCGACTCGACTGTTCAGCAACATTAGTTCTATTAAGCCCCGTTTGAGCCATATTTTAAGCCACAAAAAAATGAGAATTCCGTCCATTGGAGACCAATTTCAGCCACCATATTTGACTTCATCTCTCTTAGGTTGGACCCGCATTTGAAAATAATGGTCAAAATTTTTCTACTTTCTTCCTTGAAAATATGGCCCAAACAGGGGCTCAATTTTAATGATACTACAGTAGACAATTTTAGCTCACTTGAAAATTGATGTCATGATAGAATCCTGGCTAAGCAGACAAAGAATCAGAAAATATTTCCAAAGAACACCAAGTTACCCAAAAAGGGGAAATAGAATTCGTAACCAAGAAGAGATGAGAGTGTTCAAGTTTATCAAGCGCAACCTACTGCCACACAATTTAAGGCTTTACATTCAAACATTCAAATATATGTAAAATGTTTGATAAACATCAATTCAAATTGAAGCCAAAAAAGGTTTTCATTCAGACTTCCAAAACCTAAATTACAGACAATATCATCAAGGGTCTAGGCAGACGTGCACAATGTGTCACCTTCTTTCCCCATAAATTCGAAGATGGCATGCCCCAAAAGCCTATTTTTTCAAGCAGGAAACACAGATTATGTCACCACACCATTTTATGAGAATCAAACTTGCAATTTGATAGGGGAGAAACAATCTGAATCAAGATACAAATATGGATCCATTAAAATGGTTCAGTGTGTAAAAGCCAATCATTTTTAACTTCGTGGTGGTTTACCTAAAATACTTGAAGACTGATTAAAGATTAAACTGTGTCTTTATTCTCTCTCTCTCTCTCTCTCTCTCTCTCTCTCTCTCTCTCTCTCTCTCTCTCTCTCTCTCTTTTTTTTTAAATAAAGCTCTGTTAATTGTTAATCCTCTTTGTTAATTATACTACTCAGTCAACCATGAGGAAAGTTGACAAAGCACTCGAACAATATCCAGAAGATAAACATATTCCAGCAACATCATCAAAGACAAGGTTACAGACCTTGAGCATTCTCAGAGAACTAAGACCACTTTAATCAAATTTTACTTCACAAAAACCGCCTTCCATCATTTGGCCTCAGGATCTGAAATGAACACATCAAACTTTCATCAACACTCATCATTGCCCCAGCATTATCAAATTCACCACAATAGTTGGGAGCAGAAAATATTGTAACTAGCTGTCTATCAGCAAAAAATTCATATCCATCTTCCACGACCTGCACAGCAAAATACCAATCAACAGCAGAAATCCAAACGCTGAAACAAGGATCAAAGAAATCAAGAGAAAATGTCAATACCTGATGAGCACGACATACAAGATCCATATCATGCTGCATCAGAAACTCAGCTACCTTATCTGGACCAAAAGTGTACGAGACCCCTCTATCGTTCATCCCCCAACCTTTAACTTCTCTACTAGGATCCGCCCAAAGTAAATCGCAAAGCAAACCAGAGTCAGGAACATCAGTTGGACGTGGCAAATTCCTTATTTGATCCAAGTGAAGTAGATCAGGAGAAAGACCACCATGCATACAAAGTATTTTATCATCAATGAGAGCAGCTACTGGGAGGCAGTTGAAACAATCAGTAAAGACTTTCCAGAGTCTCACATTGAAGCGCCGTTTACATTCATCATAAAATCCATATATCCTATTAATAGAAGCACATTCATGATTTCCTCTTAAAAGAAAGAAATTTTCTGGATATTTGATTTTGTAGGCAAGAAGAAGGCATATTGTTTCTAAACTATATTTTCCACGGTCCACATAATCTCCTAAGAACAAATAATTGGCCTCGGGAGGGAATCCCCCATATTCAAAAAGCCGTAAAAGATCTCCATATTGCCCATGAATATCACCTAAAATTCAGACAAACCAAAATGTTCAGTCAGATTTTTGACAGAGAACAAAGTGGAAAGTTCAGACTGAAGCCAAAAATGCATTTACTGATCATATTGATTAAGAAAAAGCAGAATGCCAGAAGAGTGAAATTCTTCACCAAGAGAAACAAAACAATCTTCAGTGTGGGACTTTGAAGGTAATGAAAACTACCTGTTTTTGGCTTTATAGAAAATTAGCAATGCTTATTCATGTTTCCAATAAAGTTAAAATTAACAGAAAAAATTACATTACAGTCTGACTCATCAGACAACATACAGAACTTTCATTAATTATTCACCCCCATTTCTCAAAACTCATTTTTTTGCCAAACTCATTTTCAACCACACATTCCAAGGGACCCACAACTATTATCAACTTCTCAACCACATATTTCAACAACTTTTATCAAAATTTACTAAAAACCACAGGCTAAATAGCTTGCACATTTTAAATGGAAAATTTTACTCAGGTGAAGGATAATAAAGACGCAAAAGATGTGGCCCAAATAAAATGAATAACACAAATCCAGCTCAGGTTCCCAATATAAATGCAACACGTGATATTCAGCCAATCAGTCAACTACCAGTGAAAGGGGAAGAACCCTGAGATCAATGTTCTTTCAAGGAAATTACTTCATGAAATTGCAAAAGGAATCAAAACTGTATACTCAAAACATAGGTCTCAAGGGAGTGCAAGCTCAAAAAGAAAAACAATAATTAAAAATCTAAAACGCTACAGAGCGTTAAAAACTCTTAGCATTTACTTTTTACAAAAATTTAAGTCAAATCGAGAGAACTATAATATGCATCGTTACAATCTATAAAACTATAATAATATCAGGACTGTGAAAAGCTGTGTGCAGCCCTCTTTCAAATTATCATATATTTTTTAGCACATCTAGGCACATCGCATTCACGGAAGTTGCATTGTGTGCACTTTTAGCGCTGAAGAGCATATATCTTTTAGGCTTTTGAACCAATATACATTTAAGAAGCAATTTTTGTTTCTTTTCATCATCTGTAATATGTAAAGATGGAGATAATTCATTTATATTATTTTATACTCTTTGCACAACTTATGGACACATTGCTTTGATCTTTGCGGTTAGGCCTTATGCAATGTTGGTGCCTCAATGGGCTTTGCACAGCTCAATGCTTTTTGTATTTCTTAAGGAACTTGCCTTGGGGGTCTAACACTTCTCTTTTCCAAACCATTTTTC